TTAAAATAAACTTTGTCTAAACCGAGAAAATCAAAGCTAAAGTTTATGTAAATTAACATGATTTTATATCACATATAAAACCACGACACGCTTATGATTTTTCTTTGTGTTTTGCTCCTGAATTATTAATGAGTTTTTTAAGTAAATTGGACACATCCTAGCCGCTGACTGCACCCTCCCCCACCCTGTTGAAACTTTCAATGGGCAGGAATAGGGGTTTCTCCTTGAGCACAAAGCTAGTTGTCAAGCGAAGAAGTAAAAAATCTAAGAATATTTGACATTACTAAGTTTTTTATATAAGATTGTACTAAGGTTCATCTTAAGACGTTGTTTACAATAACATGTTTTAGAACGGTCTTTAAAACATTTGAAATGTTATAGAATGAAACTGGCTTGCAACCATTGAACAGCTATTTCGCTAAATCAAAATAAACATGCACTGAACTGTTTTGTTTAAGAATTTTATGACATTAAAAAAGAAAATATGTTCTTATTGTTTATCTAAGTCAATAAATGTTTACAGTATAGCAATTCTAAATCTGCTTAGTATGTAATAGTATTGTAAACAACTTTACTTAAGGTGACACTGATTCGTCAGTAATTGTTCTGGAAATAAGAATTTGCTGAAACTTCCCAGGAGCGAAGTTTATGATATGCTCATAGTAAAAACAGAAAAAAATTGGGGCTCCTGAACTAGTTTCGAAGATATGACCCTTTTACGAGTTACAGGAATAATCGCAATTGCTCAACCGTTATTGAATTTATTAACAAGGGTCCTACTAAAAATGTCTATATAGTGATTATTTGCAAGAAAACATGATATCTCAGCGAATCAAAACCATTGACGTGTATTGTCGTGGTGCAAAGATGTCTTTTCCCATCTTCTCAGCAATGAAAGAAAGCATGAGCGAAAAATGTAAAATATTAGAAGTTGTAGAAATGATATTTCTCTTATGACTTGTAAAACATACAGCAGAACAAAAATATAAAATAGAAAAGTAGGGTCACGGACCTAATTCTTAAAGAGATACAAGGGTTAAACATGCAACATGATGTAATGTTGTTAGTTGCACAGAAACCCTAGCCAGAGTTCTGCCAAATTTGAAGATATATTTCCTGAAGCACGCCCAGTCAATGCAAAGTGTTTTTCTCTTTGCCCTTACTTTTTCTTTATCACTTTACATTGCAGTTCGACTGTATTAGCTAACATTTGTTGTTAGATATGTGCAGTAAAAGTGCGCAATGCAAAACTGATGAATCATCTTAATCAAACATTTTTTCAGAAGCAATTAACCTCATTTTCAGGCATTTAATAAATAACCTATTGACTGAACTTTTTCACTCCTGAGAGTACTAACAGTAGGATACTATTCTCTTTTTTTTGTAAGGACCTTCACTAATATTGTCCTGTCCAGACCTCTCACTAAGTCAATAACTTATAGAAATGGATTTCACGAGCTTTCTACTCCAAACACCTTCTCACAAAATATTACCACTTTGTAGGTTGAATTTAAGGATTTTACCATTTCAAAAATACTGGCAAAATTGGGCCTTATGAAGGCATGAGGCCCAAGCTTTCAGCTAATGTACAGTAAATATTATAATGTTGAAAACCAGATACGTACAGTATATATACAGCTATTTCAATTAAGATTGTCCTGCAGAAAAAAGTAGAAAAGTCGAATACGAGCGCGAAAGGCTGCTGGGAATGGCTAAAAAAATAATGAATTTACTAGCGATTCCTAGCAGCCTTTCGCGCTCGTATTCGACTTTCCGCTTTGCTTGGGGACAACCTTAATTGAAATAGCTGTATGCAGTGCCTCAGAAGCAAATTGTTGTTGGGAGGATTCAACCAACTGGTGAACTGGGTTTACCCTAGAAAAATTTTACATTCTGGAAGCCTCGGAAGAGCATTTCTCGTGTTTCCTTGAAGGAATTTGCATTTAAACATCCAAATTTTTGCAATGTACATTGTAACTTTTTACAAGAAATAATGTGTTGAACAACGTTCGTTCTGTGTACAATCACAAGCATAATGTTGTTATTGGTTCCTATATATACATAATGTAAATGCAAAGACAACTTATTACAGATGAGTTGATTGTAATTGTCCGTGCCAGAAAGCAATTAAGTATGAAGAAGTACAACCCAAGAGGGGAAAATTATTGAGAAGGTGCTCGACCCCCCTTCCCCGCTCCATCTAACTGCCTTGGTGTATTTATATAATTCAGAACGATTTAATTAATCATCATTCATTGATCGCTAAGAAACAGTTTTTCATATCATGTCTTACTACTTATTCAAAGATTGTTAGGCCAAAAAAGAAAGTATCTCAAACCTTTGCGTTACATTCATGTTTCAACGACATACGAAGTTCCGTAACCAACTCTGTAACAGGCTGTCCAAAACATGATCCCAGACCTGATATTAATTTCAAAAAAAGAAAGTATGTTAGCATATATCAGTTAAACTAATATAGTTAAGGTAGCCAATTTTAAAGTTTCATTAATTAGCTATAGCCAACCCTTCGAGATTGTATGGAATTACACTATCCAGGTCTTGCAGTATGACGTATCATCAAAAATAATCTGCCATTTTGGGTGGCAAATATCTTTATTCAATGGATTACTACACATCTGTGGACCATTAACCCGTCTGAGCTGCCTGTCTGGAAAGCCGATGTCATTGCTAGTCAGTCGTCCACAGGCCCTGAAGGGATTTTAAATGTTCTTGACACAGAATGTGACTACAGTGCTAATGATGTGGCTAAACACATATCTGTGTGTATTGTCGTAAGCCCTTCTGCTTCTGGCAAGAAAATTAGCTACAAACCACAATCCCTCAGCGATTTTCTCACCACTTACGAAGACCGATACCGTGATTGTTTATGCCAAAACCAGCTAACAAACGAGGTCAATGGTCTCAAAACAAAACTATCCAATCTACAGACATCAATTAATTCGTTTGAAACAACGTTGAAGGATCATGATTTAATACTATATTTATATAGAAAATCAACTGACTTAAACGAACAATATCAAAAGGAAATAGCTGAAAACAAAAGGTATATAAATATCTTAGAACAAAAGCTGTTTAAAGAAGAAGAGGAGAGAGATTCCTTACAAGTAGCTATAAAGCTTGTTGTTCAGGACAAACATTATCAAAGAGAGAATGAAGCTCAACCCACAGTACGTAATCATATTCCACATTCTCATAAAAAGTACCCTCAAGAAATAAGAATGGAATAAGGTATCCTTAAGCAGGCAGGATCCCAATACAAAACAAATTCAACTGAATCCAAAGCCATTGCCTATCACAGTTTATAATAGATATGCAAATCTAGTGATGAGGGGGAGTAGAATGCTGTTAACCAACCAGAACAATATCATGAATGTTCAACAACAGAAAACTCTCAAATTGACAATTCTGAAACACCGCTCTCCCCTTGTCAGGAGTATTTAACCAGTTAATACTCCAAAGCAACCCACAACTTCAGACCACAGTAAATCACAACAGCCTCTACAAGATAGAAATGAACAAGATACTAGCCAAAAAGCTCGCTCAAAGAAACCCCACTATGAACAATGTAGTGCCTCGGAACATCCCGAAGTACAACAGCCTCCACAAAACAGTAATCGTAATCTTCAGAACAGCATTGTTTTAATTGGCGACTCAGTGCTAAAGAATATTATTTCTGAGAAAATGACACAAAGGAAGGTTTACAAATACACTTATTCTGGAAAGACTGCAGATCAAATTGCTTCTGAGGTCGAGAATATTAACCTACATGAAGCACTTTCGCATGTAATAATCCATGCTGGAACAAATGATTTATCTCTGGACTCAAGTAATGATGGTATTGATAGTATTGAAAACTTATGTTTATCAGTACAAAACAAATTCGCTAAAGCAAAAATTGGAGTATCGAGCATAATCGTAGGCTACGAGACGATATCTCAGTCAATGACAAGATCCAGGAGGTGAATGAAGGAATTAAAGAATTGTGTAGAAATCGTAACTACAGCTTTATTAATAACTCAAATATAAAGCTAAATGCACTCAATGGGAGTAAACTCCATCTTAATACAAGGGGTTCTGCTTTACTTGCATCAAGATAAAATTCTTAAAGGGAGAGTTATCACCAGGTCCATCTACTCAACCCCGCACAGAAAATTTTCGGCTGAAGGAGACTTTACGCCAGATGCAGAACTTAATCAGGAGGATTTCGATGCAAACTTAGCAAATATTAATATCTCAAATAACACCAAAGGTCAAAGGGATGGGTCAGCTTCAAACTCAAGTTCATTTCCTGATGTTGATATCTCTAAACTCAAAGGTTTGAGAATTGCAAATTTAAATGTTAATAGTCTAATGAGGCACGTATATAGATGATATTCGAATAATGAAATTTGCTGTGTTGGTGTAATGTAGCCTACTCAGGTGAATAAGATGCTTGTGTGATGTTACTCTGAGTGTATATCCACACCGGGCAGGCTTGAAAAATATGCCCGGCCACGGTGGGATTCGAACCTACGACCTTTGGAATACTAGCCCAATGCTCTGCCAACTGAGCTATACACGGTCAGGACGGGTCAGGAATCCGGGCATATTTTTCAAGCCTGCCCGGTGTGGACATACAATCAGAGTAACATCACACAAGCATCCTATTCACCTGAGTACATTACACCAACACAGCAAATTTCATGATTATTAGATTATACTGATATCGAAGGAACTAGACTCAGTTCCGAAATATCGGATACTCGAATCGTCCTGACCGCGTAGCCTAGTTGGCAGAGCATTGGGCTAGTATTCCAAATGTCGTAGGTTCGAATCCCACCGTGGCCGGGCATATTTTTCAAGCCTGCCCGGTGTGGATATACACTCAGAGTAACATCACACAAGCATATTCGAATAATGTTAATTAATTATCCTTTCGATATACTGGCCATTAATGAAACCAAGCTTGACTCCTCTATTTCAGACTCGGAAATCTATATATATGGTTACACAATTATTAGGAAAGACCGAAATAGAAATGGCGGTGGAATTGCCATTTATATAAAAAATAATATATCCCATTTTGAAAGAGTCGATTTAACATTAGATTCAGAAAACCTTGAATTGATTTGTATTGAAATTAATAGACTACATTGTAGGCCCTTCCTATTAAGCGCCTGGTATCGACCTCCTAATTCTGAAATTGAACTGTTTGATAATCTTGAACTTTTTCTATTCAAATGCGATATAGAGAATAAAGAACTGATACTAATTGGGGATATAAATTGTGATTACATGAAAGTACCCTTAGATCCACACTCTCGCAGGCTGAAATTTTTATGTTCCCTATATCAATTATCGCAATTGGTTGATGATCCAACGCGAGTTACTGAGACCTCTAGTACTTTAATTGATCTTATTCTAACAAATAGACCGGAAAATATTCTATCGACTGGTGTTATTCATCTTGGAATTTCGGATCACAGCTTAATTTATGCTGTGCGTAAATTCAAGTTACCGAGATCTAGTCCTACTATTAAGGAAGTTCGTGATTTTAAACACTTTTCGATTGATGAATTTCGCGCAGATTTACTTCAAGCACCCTGGGATATGATATTTTCCTTTGATGACCCTAGCACATGCTGGATTTTATGGAAGTCATTTTTCCATGAAACACTTAATAAACATGCACCACTCCGCCAAAAACGTGTTAGATCAAAATTCCAATACCCTGGATAACACCTGCTATTAAACAGACGATGCGTAACAGAGATTTCCACAAAAAGAGAGCCATTAGGTGGAAATCTAGCTATCATTGGCAAATATATCAGAATCTGCGAAATAAGGCAAATAGAGAAATGAAATTATCAAAATCCCAGTTCTATCACAGTGAAATTCAACATTGTACTAGATCAAGAAACCTTAAAAAGACCTGGTCTCTGATTAATTCTCTTGCTGGTAAGAATAAAAAATTTACCATGATCAATGATATCTTAGTTAACAATAAAACCATTTCTGATTCTAAGATAATTGCTGAATCTTTCAGTGAATATTTCGTAAACATTGGCCCTAGACTGGTATCTGAGGAGAGCGAAGAATTTTATGATGGACTGACGAACAATAACAACCAAACTGCGTCTATGTCAAATTCGACATTTTATTTTTCACAAATTAATGTTGAAAAGGTCGCACTGACACTCCACAATCTAAAAGATAACAAATCTACTGGGCTGGATAAAATACCAGCTAAAATTCTTATAAACTATCATCAGATATTATTGCCCCATCTTTAGCATTTATTTTCAACCTATCTCTCGAAACAGGTATTTGTGTTGATGACTGGAAACGAGCTCGTGTAATTCCCATTTATATAAGGCCGAAGACAAACGTAAATGTGAAAATTATCGGCCGATTTCAATCTTACCAATTGTAAGTAAAGTCTTTGAAAGAGAGGTGTTCAATCAGGTGTATCGTTATCTCTCTGAGAATTCTTTGCTGTCTAGATTTCAGTCAGGATTCCGCCCTAAACACTCAACTTTATCTGCTCTGATACAAATGTGCGATGACTGGCTACAGAATATGGATAACGGTAATTTGAATTGAGTAGTATTTCTTGATGTTCGAAAAGCATTTGATTCTATAAATCACGAAATACTACTACACAAAATGCATGACTATTTTGGTATATCTCGTATACAGCTGAAATGGTTCGAGTCTTATTTGAATTCCACAGGGCCCAATTTTAGGGCCCTTAATTATTGTTTTTATTGTATATAAACGATATGCCTAAATCTTTGAAATATGTTACTCCATCTATGTATGCGGATGATACAGAAATTTATGCCTCCTCCAAACATGGCGACGAGCTCGTAGCCAACTTAAACTGTGACCTTGATAATATTCGTAAATGGATGTTACAAAATAAGCTCCAAATTCATCCAACTAAGACCAAATATATGTACATTGGATCCCCTTATAATATTAAAAATAAAACATCAAGTAACCCCATTTTAATTAACAATATACCAGTGCCTAGAACTGAAACCTATACATGCCTGGGCGTTAACCTGGACGAAAAGCTTACATGGCAAAAACATATTGACGAGATCTGTGCCAAGGTAGGGGCTGGAATTGCGGCTATGAGAAGGATAAAGCCCTTCGTTCCTCTAGAAACACTAAAACTAACTTACAATGAGCTTGTGCAACGGTATTTTAATTACTGCAGTCCCCTTTGGGACAACTGTGGAATTGTTCTCAAGGATAAGCTTCAAAAATTCCAAAATCGCACTGCGAGAGTGATAACTGGGTCCACCTACGATACTCCATCAGTTGATGTGCTTAATACGCTAGGTAGGGAAACTATAGCCTTAAACTGCGATCTCACTTTGATTTTGTTATCCATAATAAAGTACTCAGGTTCAAGTGTTACGATTTATATTTCTTTTAAAGAACCACGGTTCTTTATCGTGGTTATACTCGGAATTTACAAACATACTAACTAACCTATGCTTAACACAAGCTTTTATACTAAAACTAAATAATTAATTAAACATGCATGCATGCACTAATTGATTTGCTATTACATACCGGCCTCAAAGGCTTCCAAGCCTTTCTATACT